GGGGGGGGCGCTAGCGTGAGACTGAAGTGCCGTTGACGGTGTGTGAGGTCGTCGAAACAGATATTCCCCATGGACTAGCGGAATGCCATCGCCTAGACTCTTGACTACGACAGAATACTACGTGAATAGTGCTACTGACCAGCGCAGGTCGAGAAGCCCTTTAGTTATCAAAGGACGTGGGGAAGCGGGGCAAACCGAGATATGGCTGGCTGAATTTACTAGTAGTTGGCCAGTCCACCGCAACGGATACCCTCCATAATCGAAGATCGCAAGATAGTGGGGCAGCTGAAAAAGCAAGTGGGTTTATCATTGAGCTGGCCATATCCGTACCATTTCTGTGGCCAATTCTGAGCCATTTAACCCCCTTTGGGCAGTTATGTCTTTGTAGGATATACGGCGGATTAACTCAGGGTAGTTAGTATATTCCCAAACTTTCCAACTTCGGCTGATCACATGTGCAATCTCTCTTCCATTCTTATTGCAAGGTCCTCCCTGTAGGATCTATCGGTTCTACCTTTCTATCCAGAAACGGTCGAATCCGGACAAAAGACTCGACCTACTGCAGTGTAGGGCAAAGCGTCGGAAGTCATGTACTAGGGAAATGCCACGATTCTCAGAGCCCAAGACATGAGTTGATAAAAGGCTCCACGTATACTACCTTGTGACTTGTGCATATAAACGTAGAATCCGGGAAACTCATGGCATAGCACCGGCGACACTGCCTAAACACCATACATGGCTGACAGGCGTTTTGTCGAAACCTAGGGACAGCATTGCTGGCCTAGAATAAAATGGGGTTTGTGTTGGTGTGCATGTAGTGACGAATCTTCGGGTCAATCTACGTTACTTGAAGATTCAGACTCAGGACGTGAAGCTTGGTCCTTGATCTTCAATGCTGTCCTAGTTGATGTAGAGCAATCCCGCTGGTGTATCTGCATCTCCGCTGGGCCTGAATCTACATGTTATACTAACTATATCGAGTTGTGAGTGAATCATAGTTTACCAAATCTAGCCATTAGATAAAGCAAACCTTGATATGTAAAAACCAGTATGACTCACCAGAATGTCTTCGCAACTTTTGGTATTTACCAGATATCGTACCTCGACTTACCAGATGCTGAAATCCCCTTTGCGGTAGTATGCAGACCTTACTAGAACCTAGATATTCTAGTACTGTACATACTACTCTATCTCCACGATAGAGCCACGACAACCAATGTATGAAAACCGGCAATACCCTCAATGCGCCATTAGGTCGTGGTCACGGTGGCTATATAGGGGCGGTCGAGGCGGATCAGACCACGAGATCTGGTCATAATGACATTTTGGCCCAGGTGGAAATACGGTTGCCCGGAAATGTGCTCTTACGGCGGATCGGTAATGCATACTACAATATAGTGTTCCAAATGGAGTCACCCACCACCCAGTGCGAACAGTCCCATGTTCCATAAACTAATTCCGCTATTATTTGATATATGAAAAAGCTCCTGCACATTTCCGGGGTTCGAGGGATGAGACGCAACTCAGCCCTAGCCAACAATTCCATAAATCCAAGAGTTAGATTATTCACCGGAGGTGTAGTCCCACACAACACCATCCCCCTATTAGACCAGCATATCGTCAATATAAGCCGGACGAACTATTAAGATGGTTCCTAGGTCCATCTTAAAGCACGGCTCTCCCCATAACTGATTTAGGATTGTGGAGTATAAATCGGGCAGAATTCCTAGCCCTTCGAATAGGGAATAGTCAAGATGATGAACCCACCATTTTCCTGGCACTGGTATTCGAGCATATCCGTATAGCGACCAGCTGAGCTAATGGTGTTATCGATGATTACAACTGCGCCATGCCGGAGATACGGCTGGACAACTTTCAAAGCGAGCAGCACCATAAGAGCCCAGACTAAAAGCGACATTAGTGTATATCTTAGTTTGTTTCAGCGTAAAGAACTAACTCATTGTCCAAAAGAGGTATGTCAACGGCGGGAACATTCTCTTGCAATGTTTCCCGCAGATCGCCCACGCGCAGATCAATGTGTCTTGACACCACCTCTCCAGCCTCTGCCCAGTACAGGCGAGCCTGTTCCCCCTTGAATCCCTACATAAATTTTAGTAAAGAAGGTATACGATGTAATTACCTTTCGAGAGCAACTCACATGAGCACCTAGGCCTGAACTCGCACCTGTAATCACGACACCTTTCCCTGCTGCGACAGGGATGGCAAAATATGATCAATTTCTGGGTACTAATCACGATAGAGCTTCTTGGTGAATACATCAGCAGTCAGGAAGTAGTCGTCTGGGAGGCTACTGATGTCCATGGTGCTAGGAGCTGTCAGGGTAACAAAGTAGACTCAAGAAAGTGAAAGTACATCGAATATGCTGTCAGTGTGACTATGGCGAGAAGAAACCCAGCAATCGTATTGATCTTAACGGATTAAATAATAGAGGCAATTGCGTTCCAAAGTGACATTGGTATGTGGTCCTGGTATATTCACAGCTACGATGCATTCATTATTCGGGGGATTCGCAGTTGCACCCTCCGTTTATGCCTCTTTGCTTAATGATATTGCCTCGCTCTCTAGCGAAGGGTTCATTAGAATAAACGTATCAAGATGAATGATCTACAAGCAAGCGGGCCCGGCAGTCCAGCGGCCCGATGTATGAGTGGCCATCTTCGGGAAAGAAAGCAGCTGCCGGTGAAGCGGTGTTAAACGTTATCCTGAGGGAGCTTCAGTTCTGGGTAGATTTCTAATGCTTGGTAATCGAATCTCCCCTTCTCACATGTTCCGGAACGCCTGGTTGATACTGACCACCTATTGTTCTCGAATTAACACAAGATTATCATAGTCTGGTATATCCAGTCTCCATGGCTATCTTGCTGGGGTTTTCCTTTCATGTGACCTAACTTGGGTCGTCGGATACTTCGTGAATATTCACGTACTGGACCCCGCATGCTTCTCGATCACACCTACGAACACGACAGGATACAGCCAGCATCTCAGCTCTCTCCTCCAGTGTTAGAGATATACCTAATAGCCCTTGAAATAAAGCAGATCTTGGAATGTGGAATAGATGAACCTTTAGAGCAGTAGGATATACCACACTGTCTTCCCGGTAGTAACCCAATGCTTCCGCCAAATTCACTGGGCACACAAAACGCTCTTCGAAAAAATACTACCTCATGGCGGTGACGACTCAGCTTGATAAAGTCCATGCAACCGACCAAATAGTTCTGCCTCCATCCGTTCGGCGGGCTGGGGGCCATTGCGGATTTCTCCCATCATATCAGTGCCCGGTGGAAAGTCAAATTCAAACGTCGGTTCACCAGCCCCACGCATGTTACATAGTACCGCTTGCTCATAGTGCCAGTGTAGTAGTGCATCAACGACAGCCATTTGGTGACCTCGCTGCCGGCAAACGGGGTGTAGAACTTTCCCATGGTAGTCCCACGTTTCCGGTGTGAAGCTTTGGATCTTGTATCCATCGCTTGGGTTCACGGCGATTGCGTATTGGTCCCAATGGGCGTGAATGTCATTGCGAAGTAAAATTCCATTCTGGGGTGATTTTATCCCTGGGGGGTTGTTGTATGTGATGAGGTTTGAGAACCCATGGCTCTGAAATATAGTGTCCAGTGCAAGTGGGAATATGTGGGCTGCTTCATACCCAGTCCATATCCCCACGTGTCCTTGACGATTAATCCGACCAGTTATAACGCACCGGCCATCTCGCGTACGAATCTGGTCTCGGAACGCAAGTTCTCTGGTTGCCGCTGAGATTGAAAGTGTACGAGGGTAATAGCGATCATCGGTGGTGACCGTAGTTTCTCCTGGAGTATAGGGCGTAAGAATATAGCGACCATGTTGTATCCTTGTGTCTGTAGGCCTCAAGGCTAAGCGTGAACGATATCGACGCGTCTCGAACCCACCAGGTGCGAAGAATAAGATGTGCAACATGTCTAAGAATTGTTTTCCTGTGAGATTATTTGCAGCAGCAATACCTCCCTGGATTACGCCAGGCGCCGAAGAGAATTCGACCCAGGTGTTTCTCAGCTGTGCCCGTGACGTGGTCATTTTAAAGAACAGTAGAATTCATTGCTCTAAGAGAGAACTCCTCAAAGAAAAAACTGGTCCGATTCCAGAGTGGGAGAAAAGAAGCTGCCTATACAAAAAGCTATTGAAAGAGATGGATTGATAAGATGGGATTTTGGCAGCAGAACCCCACCGCTTTCTAGTTCTTGGTACATAACTCGTTGATTGGCGTCCACTGTCCAACTGCCAGTCACTAGGCGACATGACGTGGCCTACCGCCTTTACTACATCTCGTTTTAGGCGCAGACACAGATTCGGTTTCGAGTAATTCAGGCTCAGGCTCAAACCCAGGCGTCAAAATAGTCTCTAAACCCGTGCGTAAATCAAATACCACCAGCAGCCTGTGTTTCCAGACAAAGGCCATCTTCATTATATTCAGTCGAGGTAAACTCGGGAGTCACATAGGCACCAGTGTACACATATTCGCAGAACCCAATGAATGTCTCTGGCTCTACATCTTCAAGAACCGTAACTTCGGATGGAAAATCCTTCATCGAATTATCACACATGTGCATGTACAACCCTTCCGAGACGTTTTGCACTGCGGCAGTATGGATCGTCAAGCGAGTATGATCCTTGTCGACAAGCAAGGTGCTGGGCGTCGAACGGATAATCCTGATCTTATGTGATTAGTGAAGTCCAGTGGTAGGTATGTCTGGTATTCGTAGCTCTTGTAATCGGCCATTGTGTAGCTAGCTTATGGATCTTTGGTTATTTTGGTGTGTCTAGATGTGTTATGGTCGAAAGCACTTGTCTTGATGGGTCTTGTTTCAAGGTGGTGTTTATGCTATTAAAGTGTGAAGAAGGTAGAGGGCTCGAAAGTGGCTAAATACGCTACGGACTACAGTATCATGATAGAGCTGGTGTGTTGGTCAGTAATGAGGGGCAAGTTGCATGCATGATGTGCTTCTTAAGCAGCACTCGACTACGTTATCAACACGAGTCAGTCAGCCACCAGTGGAGGATCTAACCTATCGACTGGTAAACATTGTACGAAAGGCATATCCCGTACGAGTCAGCGGCAAGACTGCAGTGCCATGTAACCAATGATCTCTACGAGTCAGCCTCGCCAGCTCATCGTGCAGGCGAGTACTGACTTCGCCCGGCCGCTCTCAATCAGGCTTCGGGGCGTGTACAAATCGAAATAAATCGTATGCTATAATTCTTATTTGCATACTAAATGAAAGATTAACCTGTGAGGAGCGGATGACCGGCAACCCCACATACACACTAGAGCAGTGGCTACCTAATATTAGTTTATTACGTTGCTGCTAATGCCGCGTCTCCAAAATGAAAGGAACATTCATTAACAATGGGTATATCTAAATCAAATAATAACTCCTTGAATGAGAGTAAAAGATGGTCCCAATTATAATCCACTTCACCACATAAAGACCACATAGCATCAAGGGATTTGGTGGTATTTCATCCGATGGGTCAACCCTTTCCTGCTGGGTGCAAGGGACTGGGGATAGGGACACGTGTGAACCGGCTATAAGCTGAACAAGACGATCGGTTCAATGGGGAGTTGCATAATTAGGTGGCCTCAGATATGTATCGTCATATCTTGGAAGATTATCATCCACATAGAATTCGCTTAGCGAAATACTGTCACCACTGACAAAGTCCCGAACAGAAAGAGGGAAGATAGCGTTGAAAGCCTTCATCCGGGGTCTGCGATCTACAAGTCTTCCGGTTGCCTCGTCAAAGGTATCCTGGCCCGTGACAACTTCCAGTAACAGATTGTGCTCGACTATAACACCGGTTATGTCGGTAGGACTGCAATTGCAGACCTTTTCCTGGTGATGACATAGGTATGAAGACAGATCTATCCCATCTGCTGCCTTCGCTTTGGCTGGGATGTTGACGTCGAACGGGATCTCAATCGTATGGTCGCCTCCTTGTAACCCTCCAGTTGCTATCCAGTGGCCTTTTTGTTTTCCCTCGCATAGTTGCCGTACACGCTGCTCCTTGCAGGTTGTTGTTACGGCCTCTCTTTGTGGGTTACCACCCCTCGAGATGGAGAGGTACTTGACGGTCTCTTCCACCTTCCACTTCAATTCTTTACCCACCACGTACTTCACTTCCATGTCTCGCGCTCCCTTTGCAATGGTTGAGTGGGCCACCCATTCTAAAGAGTACGCTACTTTCATCTCCTCGGGCGAGTCTGAGTATAATTGATTCGGTATTAGGGATAGTTCGGTCAGTACCTTTTCGCCGGGATACTGTCGGATATGCCGGGTTTGTTCAGAGACTACACGGCGAGACACCTTTATTTGCTGCGTGTCCTTCAGTATCCTCGTGCTGGCTATCGTTGACGGTGTTACCGTGGCAGTGATGGCATAAGACACGCTCCCTAGGATCGTCTCTGTTGTCGGAGGGATATTGCTCGGAATAGGGAGGTAGAAATTGAATTTCAGCCATGTTTCATTCTCGCCCTCTTGGGGGTCTATCTCATCGGGTGCATGGCAGAGGTCATATTGTACCAGTGTCTCAACGTTGGGCTCCGGTGGTGGGGTCGCGTGGGGAGAGTTCTGATTTCTTGATGATTTGTGCTTCTGGTTGCGTTTGAAGAAAAAACTATAGCTCTTATTGTTGCTGGGAACAGCGACATCACAAGGTTTAGGGGTCACTGATCGCGTGAAACTAATTTCAAATTTGGGGAAATTCTCGGTGGAAGCTCTCAAGCTTGCAGAGGGAACTGCGATGACAAGGGAGCCAGTGATCGGAGGAGCATGACTCTCACCCCCAGACTCCAGCAGAGTATAGGTGCTTGGCACAGTCAGTTGTAAGCCCCAGGCTTCCATAGCATCTCATCGAGGTGGTGGTGAAATACTTTTCGAGGAGGATTGAACGATCGGGCAGGGAACCCGGGGAGAAGCTTACACTATGTACTCCGTACTAATAGCAAATTAATAGCGAACCTCTGGTTATAAAGGTCTGTGCACATCAAGAGTGAAAGAGCTTCTATTGGTATGACTGGTTTCCTGCCCTAACTGCACTGGTCTTAATGGTTAATCTTCCCACTCCACGCGTACGTCTCTGGACCTCGTCGGGATCGGTGGAGACACGCCAAGTGTCCAAACAGGAAGCCAAGCAGGAAATTTTACCTTTTGCGTGATGGTTGGATCCACAAGCCGTCAAGCCTTCCGACGGGCTTCTCATCCGGCAAAACTGCTCGTCTTTGGATAAGCCATGCAGAGTTTGTGAGTCCTCGAGCTTAACAGGACTTGGATGATCGACCCGATGCCATGAACATCAGTGATACACTAGGAAGCCGTGTCCAATCTCATTATATCCATGCCAGAATTGCTTGGCTTCATCCGACATTAGATAAGCAGGGTTTGTAAGCGTATATTGGATCATCAGAAGTGCATTTCTTGCCCCTCGGACGATCGGTTCTTACCCATCCAGCGCGGCTCCCTTCGTCTCGTTGTTGAGCGTGATATCAGTGACCGGTCATGGCCACCAGGGCCCCATCGACCAACGTTGCGTCCAAAGGTAAAATGATGAGCCCCCCAGGAACAGTATTTCCCAGCACGTCTCACCAACCAATGATGTGGCAAGGTAGACTGTCCGAAATGTAAATCGCGCCGAATTCATTGTGATAGGACCTTACCCAGTTGCCGAAAATGCTTGCGGCGAAACTATGAATGTCCCGGCTATGGATTAATTCTCCGATGGAAACCCGGTGTCACCAGTCGAGGGAGACTGGCAGGCAGAGATGGACCTGTGGACGGTGACCCCAGAGGACCAGTCCATGGACCAACGGATCGGACCCTACATGAGGTTATGTCTCTGACAGCGGTAGACCGTGGACTTCACTCCCCACTTGATCGCCTCTCGTGTCAATTGTTGCACCACTTCAACCACAACATTGCGACGAAGCTCGCTTGGGTCGACGGCCCAGAAAACCCATGGCGACAGATTATACTCCCCCTCTCACATGCCTCGCCGATCGTTCGCTACTCCTTGCTGGCCATGTCATCCGAGGATCTTACACATAAATATACAATCGACCGGCCTTATTTCCATCAGCTGAAAGCTCAGTCGCTCTTTTACCGGGACAAAGTCTTGTCCCTCTTACCACAACATCTCGAACGTCTCTTGAGAGCCCCCATTTCGTTTGATTGTGCGAACCAGGCCCGGTTCGTTCTGGCAACGGTTCTCCTTCTCTACAACCTCGAACTCCTGTCGGCCAAGACGACGCAATGGCGACTACACATCCAAGGTGCTCGGGCGATCATACAATGGAAGCTTCAGGCTATTGGACTCCACCGACCTGACGTCGCGGATAATTTCCTCCGTTACGAATACTACTTCACCGCCGTCTTCAACGGCTTGACCACGTTTGATGCAACCTACGAGGTCATTGACGATATCCCCATCAACGACAAGATCGCTGTCTTTGGTGACTTTGTCCGGATCATGCACTGCGTGACCCGAGCCGAGCGAATCAACTTCAGTGGCCGTTCCACTACCGACACGACCCGAGTGGAAGACGTCGTGGGCGAAATAGGAACGGCGAGAGACCGAGCGCTCCAACTCAATCAGATCATGCGGTTCCATTATCCCGACGCGCGGCATTATTTCGAACACCTGACGCACATGTATTACCATGCGAGCTTGATCTACAGTCACCGCGTGCTCGCCGATCCCGCTGCGTCCCAGGATCTCATCCGGGCTTCTCGAGATGCTATTCTCGATCACTTATCGCATCTCCAGGACCTGGCATATTTCGCCCACGACCTGGTGTGGCCACTCTTTGTGTGTGGGACAGAGTGTCGGGGTTTCCCAGAGAAGCAGGATACCATCGAACGGGCACTTTTAGGGGTGATACGACTCACCGGCAGTCTTGATCGACGGCGAGTCTTGTCATTTTTAAGGATGTTTTGGCAGCTGGACTGCGAAGATGGTGAGGCGAACTGGATTGAGGTGGCAAGAAGTCGACCGGCAGACTGGAATTTTATGATTATATGAAGGTTTCCGTACATCCGTTTAGGTAACTGAATACTACCAACCCCTCATTCAGGTGAGATTTCATCCCAACGTGGACGGCCGCTTCCGAGATAAGATTGGCGCCGCCTTCTCATGCAATCCACAAACCTTCCTCTTGTAGTAGGCGGTGTGGCGAGGAGTGGGGGTGGTGGCAGTGCTGCGTAACGCGGAGTTGCCACTCAGCGTTAGCCTCCAGTCGATTTGTGCCACCTCATTCCCCTTTCGGGTGGTAGTGTGAGACCCACTGACACTCTGGGGTGGTGAAACTTCAAGTTGGACGGTGCAAGGAAAATTAAAATTGAAAGGGAGGATGTGATTCGTATTCCCTCGTCTGTTCCTCCCAAAAGAGCCACTCAGCGATCATCCATCCGTTAGTAATAATCCCTATGAATCTTCCTAACCTCGGACTAGCCCTCTTTTATCAACCCTTGTTTCCTTCTTGTTCTTTTCTCAAACATTTTCCGACAGTCCTTCGCACGTGCTCCCTTTTTTTTTTTTTTTTTTTTTTTCTCTTTTCTTTTTTTTTTTTTTTTTTTTTTTTGCCCTTTTCCTTTTTTTGCTTTTTTCCTTTTTCTGATCATCCCGAGAAGAAGAAACGACAAAATCGCAGCCTGTATGCGATTGATACGTAGCGCTCCATTACACCCAGCGCACCTAAATCGTTTATTGACTTCTAACCGACATCGACGTTAAGGAGTCCCCCCACCAGACTAGCCATCCATCATGGAGCCTCCCAGGCTGGACAAGATCACGGCAGATTCCAACCTCGAAGCTCTTGGATACACGCCAGAACTGTCTCGCAATCGATCAACATGGCAGGTAGTCTTCATGGTTTTCATTCTGGCCTCAGTGCCCTACGGTTTATCGACGACGATGTTATACTCCATTGCGGGAGGAGGCTCGGCCAATATGATCTGGGGTTGGATCTTGGTATCCCTGATCATGTTGTGTGTCGCCGCATCGCTCGCTGAGGTCACATCCGTTTATCCCACCGCGGGTGGTGTTTACTATCAAACCTTTGCCTTGTCCCCGGTGAAGTATCGCCGCGTTGCAGCCTGGATCTGCGGCTGGGCCTTCATTGCCGGCAATATCACCATCACCTTGGCCGTCAACTTCGCCACGGCCCTCTTTCTGATCGAGAGTCTCAACGTGTTTACCGACGCGGCCGGAGTTGGTATCACAGAGAGCTTTTCGGCCTATCAGACCTATCTGATCTTTCTAGGCATCACGCTCATCTGCCATATCATTCCTGCCTTTGGGAATAAGTGGCTAACACACCTGGAGGTATATCAAGCTATCATCACAGCGCTTACTTGACCTTTTTTTTTTCTAGACCCCCCACCCCGTGCCCATGTCACTAATCTCACTTTGTATATTCGACCTATAGACTTTTGCCATTTTTTGGACCCTGGTAGGCGTGACTGCCATTATCATTACCATTCTGGTCGTCGCCAGTAACGGGAGACACTCTGCAAAATATGTCTTCACCGATTTCTCCCCTCAATCCGGCTGGCCAGAAGGTTGGTCCTTCTGTATCGGTTTACTTCAAGCTGCCTACGCGCTCTCGGCAACCGGCATGATCACCTCGTAGGCCACTACCATCATTTATGCCCGTCGCGAAAAAAATCCCAAAAAACCCAAACTAACGTGTGTGTGTGTCTCCCGAAAATCAGCATGTGTGAAGAAGTCCGCGCGCCAGCCATCCAAGTTCCCAAAGCAATCGTCGGAGGCCTCACCCTGAACGCCCTGGCCGGTCTCGCCTTTTTGATCCCCATCGCGTTTGTGCTCCCCGATATCTCCTACCTGGCGAATCTCCCGTCCGGTCAACCCGTTCCGCCCATTTTCAAATCCGCCACCGGCAACTCCGCCGGAGCCTTCTGCCTGCTCATCCCGTTGTTGATCCTCGGCATCATCTGTGGTGTAGGTTGCGTAACTGCGGCATCCCGAAGCGTCTGGGCCTTTGCCCGTGATGGAGCCATCCCCGGTTCCAAGTGGTTCAAGAAAGTTGAACCCCGTCTCGACAACATTCCCCTGAACGCGATGCTCCTCGGTATGGTAATCGAACTCCTGCTCGGTCTCATCTACTTCGGCTCCACCGCCGCGTATAACGCCTTCTCCGGTGTCGGTGTGATGTTCTTAACCCTTAGCTACGCCTGCCCAATCGCGGTCTCGCTCCTTCTCCGTAAGCGACAGGATATCAAGAACTGCAGCTTCAATCTTGGACCACTCGGTCTGTTCTGTAATATCGTCTGTCTTGGTAAGTGGACTTTGGCCCTGCCCTACCAAACCCTGGTCCCCCGCATCCACAGACGGATTCTAACATCTCCCGATGTTCAATTTAGCATGGACTTGTCTTGCCATCCCGCTCTTCTCCATGCCGACCTTCATGGCCGTCACACAAGAAACTATGAACTACGCCTCGGTCGTCTTCGTTGGGTTCTTCATCATCTCTGCTGTGTGGTACTGGGTCTGGGGTTACCAGAATTATGCCGGTCCACCCACTGAAGAGGGTATGGAGGGTGTCCATACTGACTAGTGAATGGGCACCACGTTGCAAATTTTGCCCTGGCTGAGACGGACCGTGAAGTGCTTGGAATGACGTCTTCATCCGGGTATGTATAGTCAATTTTAAATGTATATCAATATAAACGGCCAGACAAGCATTATTTTCTGCATGTGACTTCCGCTGTATCACCACCATGACTCCGGGGCCGCTTCGTCTACGCAGCAGCTTCCGAGTAGCTGTTAATCCTTCTTATTTATGATATCTCTTGTAGCACAATCATGCCTCGTAGATTGTTGACTAATCACGAGTCGTCCATCTGCAACCATACATGGGATCAAGGTCTATATTAACCCGAAAACCTCATCGGACCCTAGTGTTTTCCCTTCTTTGCAGTTTTCTACTGCTTCGCCTTCCATCTTCCCATGGACGTAGCATTCGCCGATTACTTTGAAGCCTTTCGGATTCCTTGTGGACTGTCTGAGGATGACCGGTACACTACACCCATATAAGATGCAAATGAAGTCCCCCGGCGTAGTAGCTTCTGGGCACAAACCGAATAAGTCGTTCTCAGTCCACAGTCGTTTCCCTCCTTCAAAGGTAGGCCCTTCTTCAGAGCCTGATACCTCGTTGTCTGTTTCCTGTTGAACTTCGCCGCTCACATCTTGGATGTCGTCCGTGTGACCCATATCTTGGTGGCTCACTGTTTCCCTTTGACCTGAGGGGCCACGAGAGCTATCAGCGTCCGGAGCTTTCATTGGGGCCCTGAAGAATTTCCGATTCCATGTGACATTTCGCACACGGGTAAGGTATGCACGGAGCATATCTGACTCTTCGTGTAAAAGTTGGCCAGTGTTGAAATGTCCATTATGAAAAGTATCAGCAATCTCCAAGCACCGCAGGCATGCTCTTTGATACCATGTAGGCGGAACCTGCCCCTCGGAATCTCTATCTGCTATTAAGGTACGCCAGATGTGATCTGGCACTTCTTCTGGGCTTTCATTAACACCTGCCCAGCCACCAATACTCAACAGCGAGCTTCGTGAGATGAGCCCCGAGGTATTCGCTAACGATACGGCCTCCACCTTAGCTAATTTAAAGCCTTTGACAAAGAGCGTAGAAGACGTATGTCGAACCACTTGCGCGTCAGACGCATCGGCTTTCGTCTTACGCTTCTTTCGAGGTGGGGCGGTCTTCGTTGAAGTATCTGTGAATCTTATACCCCTGGAGGCCTTATAAAGCGGAGAGCCAACCGGACCCAGGAGGCCTTCTCCGTTCTTACGGCCATTGTAGACTTCCGTCGGCTCCCCGAACTCGGAGTCCCGCAGCAGTCGGATCCAGGATGGCAACATACCGTTCCCCATTTGAGGCATTGCCCATGGGCGGCAGATGATGTCAAGCGACCCAGATGAAAGAATGCAGTACTTGACAAAGTTTCTATAGACTTCAACTTCGTCCAACTTATAGTCGATGGCGAGCTTGTAAGCTTTAATATTGTCGTCGTCCTCTTGTCTAGCATCATAGGAAACAGGGTCATAAGTGTCACTGGCGATCGAGACTAGGCTATACACGATGTCGCGCGATTTACTAGCGTCGAATGTGCTTAAAGAAGTCACCAAGTACTCGATCCCTTTGAGAGGTTTTCGAGCAACACTTTCGGCGTCTCTCTGGAAAAGTCTGGCAGTGGCCTCGAGCAGCTTGTTAGCTCCAAATGACTGGACTTCGCCAAGTGTATTAACTCCCTCCCTCCAGCTCTTGAATAATCTTCTGATCTTTTCTTGATATGTGACCAGGATGGACACTGCATCTGCGAACTCCGTCCATGGAACCGCCATTTTACCACAGTAGACCGATGCCTCTTTGGCAAGCGAGATTTCTTGAACAATCCAGCGCCGAGAGAACCAGCGATCTCTCATAAGTTCAGCGAGCGCATACCAATTCTCTGCGTGGCTCTCATCGTTTACCGCTCTTTCCAGAAATGCAAAGTCCATTATTTTCGGGATAAACCTCATTGCGCGATTACTTCTTCTATCGCTGTCAGCTTCCCCTAACCAGACGCAAACATGGTTTGCCATGCGATACACCTTCGCCATTTGAAGAAGCTGCTGTGTTTTTTCGTTCTCATTTTTCTGATTGATACAGATGGCATCAACCCATAGAGTTATAGACTCATCATCCTTCCGTAGACGAAGTAAAGCGCGCTTGAGATTTTCTCCAATCCTGAATCCTCTGCATTGTTGTATCAGATCTACCCACCGGTCGTACTGCCATTGCATTCGCCTATCAAATGGGATATTGGGTGGAATGACATACAGCCAGCTGGAATACAGATCCGTACCCCAACAATATGAGAGCGCCGCATAAACAGAGCTGGAAGCCTCTTCAAGCGACTCGGTGTTGAGTCTACAGACCAGAGGGTCGCTGTCATTTACTGCAGGGAAAACAACAAGAGTCCTAATTTGACCTTGCTCAAGTGTAGGAGATTCGTGGTAGATATCCTCCGACGGAATCCCAGCACATTCTCGTTCCCCCTCAGATGTCATTTCTCCAGCTTGTCTCTGTTCTAGTCGGTTTAACAACAGATCCGATATTGCCTTCCACACTACCTCGTACGATGCCCTGGGCCGTTTCAAGAACACCCTACTGAGCATGTCTATGGGTAGATGTGCGGCTGATTGTACGGCTGATTGCGTGGGTGACAGCAGGGTTGATTCCATGAACAGACCCCTAAGCAAATTCATGGGTATTTCTATGAGCAATTCCATGAAGTATCGCGGGATGGTCACCTCGATTCGTTCCATCTGCCGACTAACACACACGCATTAGCTTTAGCACGGATCCCGATAGGGCACTGCCGGGTACGTAAAGCTTTCATGTTGGCCGTCCCCTCGGTATCCTTGCTGCCCCAGAACTTACACTGCCTTTAGGTCCACTTCGCACACTCTTTGCTGAAGCCTATTCCATTCTTTCAGGTCCTGTTGAAATTCCTTAAAAATTATCATCTTTCTCCGTTCCGAAGCGTAGTCACTGGAGCTCCTAAATGCCAAGCGCCCAGGATGCAACCTTAGCTTGCATGGTCGGTGTGGAAGATGTGTACTCGGGTCGTCTGAGATACTCGAGCTTGCCTCAAGGGAATCTTGTTCAGAAGGAGAGTCAGATATACTTATCTCATCATCCTCGTCCGTTTCTGAAATGAAATCATCACTGGAATCAGAAGAACTTGAAGAGTAAAGGTCCGCATCGGCGAAATTCCGTCGCGGCATAGTTTCAACTGCCTTGTTTTGATTTCTTCTAAATCCCCACGGTTCTGACACGATGGAGTAGTAAAACATCTGGGGTGCTCAGGATGTTCATCTATAATAGAGAACAAAAGTACGAGGGGTAAGCACTAAGGAAAACATGCACAAGGACTGCGCCGCATCCTAAAAGGGTCGTAGAACTTATCCAACTGAGCTGTACAAGGCTCAGGCGCCGAATTTGCACTGGAGTGTAGTAACACTTACGGTGCACTGTATAAACGAAATCCATAGGTTTCCACAGAGGATACATCTCGACAGGGCTCTTCAGCTGAAAACGATTTTGTAGTCTTACATACGGGAAGAGATACTATAAACTCTACACCAAGCAGCTGGGGATACTTATCAGTATGTAGATACTAGACAATATTAGGACACTATAATCTCATGAAGTTATATCCAATATGATCCCATTGGTAGATCTGTAGAGTAGAAAGACAGCGACTTGAAAGGTGTCTTTGTCCCTGAAAGCGTATCCAATTTAGAGCATATCAGCAGACCAATGCAATCTATATTCCATGCATACATACAAAACGCTTAGACACGTCACAATATTTTATTTCCGCTGCAATTACCGACGTGAGAAAGGTCCACTACACTTGGTCACAGCGAAGATGGCATATTTGTGTCTAGGGAGCATTTTCCTCTGTTCAACCTGTGTGACATTACAAGCCCTGTGCTGAATTATAAGCAAGAGGTCTGGGCATATACCGCACTGCATATATGCCATATGCCTACCAGAACAATATCATGCACGTCCTGAGCCTTGCCCCCAACCTTACAGAATCCAATGCAATATATCATCCACGCTATCGTTATGTACTAGGAGTGATATTAAAGACCACAAAAATTAACACACCACCAAGACCTACATTAACCTGCTGACCAGCACCTGGACGAAGGCGGGGATAAGCTGATAACCCTAACTCCGCGTATCTACCTTGGCATTCCCGGTGGGAGGACGGAATTATGTTCCGATCTTGATGGCTAGAAGAAGATATTATGATATCAAAGGAATACGGAAAGTACATTCATTCAGAGTTCCTGTCCGTTTGTATGATTGGCTCTATACTGTGGTTCATGTGGTTCCGGCTTCGGATTGATGTCGGGGCTCGAGGTTCAACTCAGACTGTGTCAGTAACCCCCGATATACTTCACCATTCCCTATGAGATTAACCAGGTTAACCAGAGTGACTGCTAGTAAACCTCATTAAAAAATAATTATTGACACGAACTTGGATTATATAACTCCCTTCACTAACTATATACACCCATAGTACTCCGTAAGACTACCAGACTCTAATATCCACACGGATCGATGCTGCACGGCTGATCGAATCGGGATCATCGGATGTTAGTGGGTACGTATAATTTTATACCCTTAGCCTTGGTTGAGAACAGCGCTATCGTTTGTTGTATCTGAAAGATATACCACTAGTAGGTCCTGGTTAAATGGATTGGTAATACCGAAAGGAGACGAGGATGGTCTTTCCACTGGAAATTATATATATATTACTCCATGTATATGCGGGGTATGGAGTTTAATTACCGGATATAGATATATTATACTAGGTGTATTGCTAGATTTTCATGGTATGATGTGGATTCTTGCAGGGAGCATGGCCATAATGCATTGTTGGATGGTCAAGGATATTAATTATTGTATTCATGGATCTGGATCAGAAGTTTGGGTGGTACGGGACTTTTTCGGTGCATTATCCCCCCGAGATGAATCTCGGGGTGGATTGACCCGAGGATTATGACCCCGCGGCATAGAAAATTATATCAACAAGCGAATTATGGCGACGACCCTTCATTAGCTTCGGTTCATGCACTACCGACAAAGCGGCATGTATTCAGTTTATGCTCGGCTCTGGAAAATCTTAGGATATATGTATATTTTTTTCAATTGTCTATTCTACGTTACTGGGGTTTATCGTGACAAGTCCAGGCCAATAGTATACCATAATTACGGTTCAAAAAACGTGTAGTGGGTAGTCACAATTTCATCGTGAATTCATATCCTATGTTTACATGAAATGGCACAGAGCAAAAGGCATCGCCGAAATGGAACTTGTAAATTATTTCATTATTTCATCATAAATTTCATTTAAGCAAAGAGAGCATCACCCAGGCGGTAGTGCACAGTCTTGACCTGGGTGTAGTTCTCGAGGGCGTAGGAGCCCAGTTCACGGCCAATACCCGACTCCTTGAAGCCACCGAAGGGAGCCTGGTAGTTGATCATGTTGTAGCAGTTGATCCAGACAGTGCCCGCCCGGAGAGCGTTGGAGACGGTGATGGCGGTGTTGACGTTCTTGGTGTGGACGGCGGCAGCAAGACCGTATGAAGTGCTGTTACCGATCTTGATGGCCTCATCAATATCCTTGAACTTCTGAACGGTGACGACGGGGCCGAAGATCTCCTCCTTGGCGATCTTCATGTCGCTGTGGACATCGGCGAAGACGGTAGGCTGGATGAAGTAACCCTCGGTTCCGTGACGCTCACCACCGGTGACAAGGGTAGCACCCTCCTGCTTGCCGTGGTTGATGTACTCCATAATGCGGTCGAACTGCAGCTGGGAGACCTGAGGACCCTGGAAGGTGTCGGCAGTGAAAGGGTTGCCGAGCTTGTTGGCGGCGGCGCGCTCCTTGAAGCGGGCAACGAACTTGTCGTGGATGCCTTCCTGGACCAGGATACGGGAACCAGCGCAGCAGCACTGGCCGTGGTTGAAGAAGATACCGAAGTTGGCCCACGAGATGGCGTTGTCGATGTCGGCGTCGTCGAAGACAATGTTAGGGGACTTGCCACCCAGCTCAAGAGTGACCTTCTTCAGGTTGCTCTTGGCGGCAGCCTGGAGAATCATACGACCAACCAGGGTCGAACCAGTGAAGGCAATCTTGTCGATATCCATGTGGCTGGAGATAGCAGCACCGGCGACACGGCCAAAGCCAGAGAGGATGTTAACCACACCAGCGGGGAAGCCAGCTTCCTTGATGAGCTTGGCGGCATAGAGACCAGACAGAGGGGTCTGCTCGGCGGTCTTGAGGACAACGACGTTACCGGCAGCGACGGCAGGTCCAATCTTCCAGGACCACATCAGAAGAGGGAAGTTCCAGGGGATAATCTGACCACAGACACCAATGGGCTCGTGGCGGGTGTAGGTAAGAGACTCCGGGTTGGTATCAATGGTCTGGCCGTGAATCTTATCGGCCCAGCCACCGTAGTAGCGAAGGCAGCCGGCGGCGCCAGCCACGTCGACCTTAGCCATGGTGAAGGCCTTTCCGTTGTCCAGGGATTCAATAGCAGCCAGGATGTCGCTATCACGCTCGAAGAGGTCGGCCAGCTTGGTGAGCAGGCGGCCCCGTTCGGTGGGAGTCACCTTCCTCCACTCGCCCTCGAAGGCAGCACGGGCCGCCTTGACAGCATCTTCGACATCATTCTCGTCCGCCTCCTGGACGGCTACAATCGGCTTCTCGTTGGTGGGGTTGATAGTCTCGAAAGTGCGGCCACTCTTAGCCTTAACGAACTCATTGTTGATGAACCTACGCAGCAACCATATGTCAGCAACAAGCTCCCAACGCACAGCGAATATAGCGGGAAGAGCGGGATAACATACAGGCCCAAAGGCTGCTCATATTTGGCCGAGGGGGTCTCGATGGTGGTGAAAAGGTCAGCCATGGTGAGGGAGGATATGAAGAAACGAGAAATGGGGTATCACTAGGGAGGAGTGGTGTTGGTATAGAAGGGGATGTTGAGAGGAGGGGAGATGAGGAGAAGAAAGTAACGGTGCCAGGCAAAGGAGGGGGGGAAATCCCAAGGTATTAATACCTTTTAATTGCAGTGCGAATCGAACACGACCGAATAGGTAAGGAGGGGGGACAGGTGCGAAGGCAACCTAGAAAAAAAGGGAATTACAAAAACAAAAAAAAAAAAAAAATACAAAATACAAAATACAAAATAAATAAAATATTAAAGAAAAAGGAAGAATTACCAAAAACAAAACCAAGGAGGGGGAAATAGTCAACCATTGACTGGAGCAAGCTCAAGTGATAACACCGAAGAGGAGGGGAGAAAAGTACTCGATTACTTCCCAAATTAGCGTTGGCCCGTAATTTTACCGGTCAGGTTCAGTAATCCGACTACAATCAGGGGTCCCGATTGGATGAGGTGCCAGGGCCCGAGGCAGTATTGAAGACCAAAAGTCCACCATTACCCCACCGTAGCTGTCTTTCCAGACGATCGTGCGGGGTTCCTCAAGCCAGTCAGCGCTTATCCCCGGCCTCTTCGATCCACTTTCGGTCTCTGGAACTTTGGCACCCTATCCGTTTTGATACAACGTCTTCGTGTTAGTCTGACCCTCCCAGCCATGGATGTCCACCAGCTCTGACGCATCAAAAGGACTACTTCCGCCCTCCGTTCCCAGATCATCTGCCCCTCCCACATAATTGCATCATCTTTCCTGTTTTTTTTTTTTTTTTTTTTTTTTTTTTTTTTTTTTTTTTTTGTTTTTTTTTTTTTTTTTTTTTTTTTTTTTTTTACAGCACCTGGGGTGGTTCATGAAACTCTCCTACAAGATCCACGTGGGTTTAATGTATGGTATTTGAACAAGTTTTTAAGCATTCCGTCGACCATCAATTACTGTTATTACTGATGGTCGCGGAGGAATTAGGGTTGGCTCGTACGGAGTACGTACATACGAATCAAAGAGATACAGGGGAAAAGCTGCCCCGCTATATCGTCAGCAGCCTAGTAGTACCTCCGCCTCCCCATCTTCAACAACCCCCAACATGGCAAAAAGATAGAGCAAATTATGCAGACGCTTGGAAGAGATAGTCGTTAATCACTATATCCATTCTCCTCATTCGGTACCCCCTCCTCGCGACTAGCTCTGGTCTTGGTACCCAACAAGCGTCTCCAGAACGAGTCTCACTAATCACGACAAATCAATGGGGCGAAAGTCTTACTGGATGGGGTAAAGATTGGTCCAGACCCGGGGTTGTTGGAGACTATGCTTGCATTTGGTAGGTCGAAAGGAGGAACTAGCATTCCTGCACCTAACAAGGTAGTCCAGGAGATAGTCTACCCGTACCTGTAGCCTGTACCTTGGTGGTATTAAATGATCTTGTAATCAGTGAAAATTATGACGCTGGTGACGGAGCACCCCCCCTGTGGCAATCCCTGTCGAAATTGAGACTTTCATATCCCCGGGCTGGAAATAGTCCAACTGCATGTAATTGTAACTTAGCTGAACACCAATTGGCGGCGTCTGTCATGAGACATTAGTGTTTGGTTGGAACAGTGCCAAGTCCCCTCCGTCCCCACTGGACCGGGTGAACTTCCTTCCCGCCGGCGACTTTTGTGACTTTTAACTCCTTAGCTCTGGAATTTCATAACGGAGGGGAATCCCAATGAAACACCTCCGGTCACATGCCTCCTGTCCAATCAACAACCTCAATGAGTGCAGGTCGCATGTAGTAGTTCTTAAGGTACCTACTATGTTATGCGAGTGGTCACGTGACTGGTACATTCGATGATAGACGATCACTCCGGGTTGAAATCTATCGTAAACTCCTCTCTGCGACGTCGATGACTGGTTGGCGATCACCCAATCAGGTGACTCTGGAGATGCAATCGGGCCGCGTCGGAACTATAATATGCCATTTAGGGGCATGGCTTGCGAGGCTTGCGAGGAAGGAGGGTCTGGAACAGCAGTAACAAGAAGTAACATGACGGAGCAACTAAGCTTCAAACCATGGAGGACCAGGGTTCAGCCGACATGCAATTCCCCTGGACAAGCTCCCGTACCTTTAATGTCACCCCAGCCATAAACCCTCGTCCTCAACAGGCCACGAGTCGCGATAAGTCCATATCGATACTAGGGATCTACATCCCTGCGTCTTTATCGGGCGCGTTCACGTCTCAGATCGGACCACCGGGGCTCAACATATCCTGCATCAAAGGATTCTAAACCCCGCAATCTGATTCTTCCACCGTACTCTCGGGTTACCGGAGAACTATCACGGTATTCGGCTCGTATGTGAAGGAGGCGGGATTTGAACTCTCACATCATCGCGCATGCGAGGCGCTGTTGGAATGTAACACGAGGAGGGGCTCGACTAATTTGGCGTTGATGCTAGATGGTTGGGAAGTTTTCCCCCTTTGGCCGACTTGGACAGCACGGCTTATCCCCCACATCCGACGTCAACCCCATATGCGTCCCGGTGATCCTCCACAGACCTGTAAAGCTTAAAGAGCAGACCACCCGCGTCAGCAGAACGATAAAGTTTGATGCAACTTGAGCACTCTACATTCTAAGTAGACCTTCGAGCCAGTTTCATGCGAATACCCAATTATCTATGGTGTGGATTTGACAGATGTTACCGTGTAGTGATATCGGGCTTTATAGATATCTTCCTTCGTTCATCCGATGCTGTTATATCGATATTCACTAGTGACCGGTTACTATACTCTATACGTTGCCCTTTACGGTGCTATAATGGAGCATACCACTTTCTGAAGGCGTTTTGCGGCCCCCAATCCTGTAGGGCCAGCACCGACCATTAGAACATCCACTTCACTAACAGCTGTGTCAGCACATCTCAATAAGGTAGTTGGTCTGATCCACATACATCTGGTAAGCGAGCATAGTCATTAGGATATGTAAAATGTTAAATTAGCACTGACGGGTAAAATGGATGATGCAATCCGTTTGAGCTCAGCAAACCGAGTCGGGTTGAAGGGTATCGGTCGGGATCAGGATTGAACTTAAGATAATCCCGGTCGGCCTACACACATATAAGACTGGCATGCAACCTAGTATTAATCTCGATGTTGATTAAGGTCTTCCGCCCCCTACCCGGGGTTCTCGTACCCAATAGCACCACGGGATCGGCAAAAGAGCAAGATCCTCCTGGTGTTCATTGCGTTTCAGCTTGCATAACTGCGCTTATAATAGTCGAATCATGGTAGCAGGTCTGACGGGTCTCGATTCAATGATCGGCTGCTCGAAGGGCTCTGTTTAATGAACCGTGGCAGCGAGCACAAAAAGTGTAAATCCACAGGAGCAGGGTCGTTTTCGCTTCAGTCTATTGGCGATCATTATCCTAAAGAATCACTCTGATGCATCATCTAATCAAGGCATACGAAGCCCGGGGCTGCGTTGCCTGAGTGTCTACTAGGGCTCAGGTGCTGTACTTGTTAAATGAATGCAAGCTCAAAGTGCGATGTATCATACTTCAAAGCTCAAATAGAATCGTCTCCCTCATGCGAATTAGGTACATTTTAAAGGTGCAATTAACTACCATGTTGAATCAATTGCGATATAAGGCACGTAGACGGACAGTCATCCATTCACTGCCTAGGTTTTTCAAAATCACTTGTCCTAGGTACTACAGCCCTGGTATAATATCGATTAGGCATTATAAAGAACTAAACAGATTTAAATTCGAAATCCATGCTCCTTGCGACTAAGGATCTCTCGTGCATCATATAATCTCTATCCCATACAGCAGATACATTGTCATGAACAATCTATCTATATATATCCAGCCCACTGCAGAATCACCATACCCACAAACAAAAGCAAGATTGAAGTCTTCATCGTCTCCAACTCATCTCGATGGCGGTTCATCCAACCGTCCATCTGCGCCCGCCATACACTCTTGTGGTTATCTCTCAATGCAGAATGAAGGCCCGGAAGTCCGTCCAGACTACTAGAGTTGCACTCTTGCTGATATGCACGCATCCGGCCTGCACTCACCGTTTTACCAGCCCAGTAGCCCATAGTCTCACGGTCTTTGAGATATGGTTTCACTTCGTCGGTCTCAGGGTCATGAGTCAAAGCGAGCTGTGGCACCCCGTACCCACACGATGTCTGGACCTGCACTCTGTCAGTATACAAGACATGAAGTATACAACAATAGATGCAAAAGCGGGAAAGCTATAGCTGGAAAATCACGAACCTTGAAAACATCCATATGGATAATAGCACGGGCGCCTGTGACATGCTTTCCTCCCATGCGCTCCAAATATTGAGGAAACTCGGGGTCGCTCCATTCAATAACGGAACCAGTACAGAAAAGTCGCAGAATACGCGGTGACTTGTCGAAAGAGCAGAACATCACAGTAATACGACCATTTTCTCGCAAATGGCTGATTGTCTCATTGCCAGAGCCCGTCGCATCTACGTAAGCTGCTTCATTGGGACCCAAAATTGCGAAAGAAGCGTCTGGGAGGCCTTTCGGGGACAGGTTCACGTGGCGACCACGCAGAGGCGCCGAAGCCACGAAGAAGACGCTCTGGCGTAAAGCCCAGTCGCGGATGTCATCCGAAATGGATTCGTAGTATTGAACCATTGATAGTGAATGAAAAAGGGCAATTAGTGTCAATGTCGGTGAGAGATGACGAGGGTGTTGTTATCCTCGTCCATACCGCCAAATATGAATAATAAGCGGGGGGGGGTTCGGAGATCATGTCTAACTCCGATCAAGCGGTATGGTGACTTTTGTTACTCATGTAAGCCCGATAGCGCGATACAGACATGATCCTTGTAGTTTAGTATGGCAAATGGATCTAAAAGAAAGAGAAGAGTGAGATCTCCCAATTAACAACACTCTCGACCGATACAACCTGCTACTAATCTATACTACTATGTAGTAACACACTCTGGGGTTTCCTGCTCCCGTGACCCACATCGGATCGGATCTGCTATCCACATGTGATATCATGAACTAAGCCCCAACAAGCAAGAGTTGAGCAACTCCAAGCTGCACAACTCATGGAGTTTCAAATCAGATACATCAACTGAGGTGGTTATCCACTAATTATAACCTTGCATTATTTCGCCGCCCTTAATTCAACAGATTAATACAGTGACCCAATGAACCCCGCATCTCCGAACCGACAACCGAAGGACCTCCTCGGCCATTACATAGTTTGGTTGATCGACAAGAAGATTCACTAGTGGGAAGAAAGTAGACCACTTGGTGACCTTAAAAAGTATTCCGGTCCCCATCAATTGTATTTCAGCTGGGAAAGTTCTTCACGTCTTGTTCGCGTAGTAGATAGATACTTCCCTCAGAGATATCATGAGTTCTCGTCCAGTTCGCATTGCAGGTCGGTGGCAATATCTAAGCTAATCCCCTTCTCAAAAGAGACGATATTGACTGAGCCACCTACAGGTGCTTCGGGCTCTACGTCCGACCGTCGACATGCCATCGCTGAGTTCGCTCGTAACTATCCTCGAGACCCCGTCGACGTCATCATCGCCGACTTCATGAGCGAGGCGAACATGGTCACCGGGGCAGCACGACGGATAGATCAAGATAAAGCCCAGGGGGGTGCTGGTAACAACATCTCGGCAATCCCAACGAGTGCACCGGGGTACGAGCTTGCATTTCTTTTGGCACTAGAGCCGGCCCTAGAGAATTTGGCCAAACATGGTATCAAAGTGGCGGTCAACGCAGGAAATGCAGACACGGAGGGGCTATATAAAGTGGTAACAAATATGGTCAAGGCCAAGGGCTTAAATCTAAAGGTAAATCCTTTGTTAGAATACTCTACACATGCCATGTATTGATCATTTGATATACTCCAGGTGGCTTGGGTCTCAGGTGACGAGGTTTTCTCAACAGTGAAAGCAGCTTTATCCACTGGTAAATCAACCTTCAAAAACGTCTATACAGGAGAGACCCTTTCCGACTGGAATTTCGAGCCTATATATGCCCAGTGCTACCTCGGAGGCCTGGGAATTGCCGCGGCCTTGGCTGAAGGGGCCGATATTGTTCTGTGCGGACGAGTGTCCGATGCATCTCCTGTTATTGGAGCTGCGTACTGGTACCATGGGTGGAACCGCAGCGATCTCGACCAGCTAGCCAATGCATTTGTTGCTGGACATCTAATCGAATGTAGCAACTACGTATGCGGAGGCAATTTCACCGGTTTCAAGACACTGGAGAAAATCGGCGCTGAAGGCTGGCGTAATATCGGTTATCCTATTGCAGAGATTTCAGCAGATGGGAAAGTGGTCATCACAATGCAATCGTCTGCTCCCGGCGGCGCTGTTACCGTTGACACCTGTTCCTCCCAACTTTTATACGAAATTCAGGGCCCTTGGTACTTCAACTCCGACGTTACTGCCGTGCTCACGGATATCCACTTCGAACAAGTTGGTACCAACCGCGTGGCCGTGCACGGCGTTCGATCTGCACCGCCTCCACCAACGACCAAAGTCGGCATCACAGCCCGTGGCGGTTTCCAAGCAGAGGCTTCATGGTTTCTGGTTGGGCTGGACATTGATGCGAAGGCACGGATGCTGGAGGACCAGATTCGCCACCTTCTCGCCCCATACTCATCCAAATACACAGCTCTCGAATTCTCTACATTGGGTTCAGCGCCAGATGACCCTCGAGACCAAAACAGCGCTACCGTCACCTTTCGAATTATTGCCCAGGCTCGTGAAGCTGAACATATAGCCCCCAATAACTTTCTTCGCCATATCACCGACAATATCATGCAAGGCTATCCCGGCGCGACTTTCCACCTCGATGCACGGCAGGGTTTCCCAAAGCCAATATATGAATACTATGTCAGTCTTCTGCCCCAAGCAGATGTGAAGCATCGTGTCCACCTCCCGTGGAAGAATCAAGTGTTGGACATCCCTCCACCGCCCACGACTCAGGAGTTCCCGCCTCGTCAACCCTCACAGGAGATCACTGAGCCCCCTGCCAACCGCGATCTAGACTTCGGACCAACAACCCGAGGCCCTCTAGGATGGATTGTCCATGCTCGATCGGGTGACAAGGGACCTGACGCAAACTGTGGGTTCTGGGTTCGCCACAGCGATGAATACCTTTGGCTGCGCTCGCTGCTCTCCATTCCAAAGGCGGAGGAGCTTCTAGGAGAGGAATACCGGTCGAACCCTCAGCTACAGATCGAGCGGTTCGAACTTCCAAACCTCCGTGGTGTACACTTCTTGTTCAGAAACCTCCTTGGCCGGGGCGTTAGCGCGACAACTACAGTCGACTTCCTAGGGAAGAATGTCGCCGAGTATCTGCGGGCCAAATGGGTGGATCTTCCTGTTAAGTTCTTGAATCGTGGCAAGTTGTAGTTGTCCGTCGCTATATGCAGGGATGGCTTTCTTCGTCTCTAAAGCTAGGTATATAAACGCAGAAGGTCATCCTGCGAATAATCTAGGGAAGACGCTTTTCTTGACTGAGTTTTCATCACATTGATTGGAATTGTCCCATATTGTACATAAAACGCCATGAATGCGAAAATGAGTCATAATCTGCTAAGAATACCGTGAAAAAGGAAAGACATACATTCTCCTCCTTCGGGCCTGCTGACGAGGAAGTCTATCTCCTTCTGGAGGCTGGCGCAGACTCGAAGGCATCGCTGTCGTCATCAATTTCCTCGCTCAACACACTCGTAGCTCGAGTCTTCCGACTCGGTCTCGTTGACCTCGAGGAGGTCTGGCTCCCGCGAGCACTTATTTGGGAACCGGTAAAATCTAACGTCATCTGTGTCTGTTTGCCTCGTGTCGTTGCAGACCTACGCGTAGCGGTTCCTCCTATAGTATTCGACGACGGCGCCGGGGATGGCGCGGTCCGTCCTCGACGTTGGGTGCTGGCCGTCGAGGGCGCTGCTTTGCGGCTTCGGGTTGAAGGTTGCTTAACAAATAGAGATTGGGAATCATCATCATCGACGTCGGAGAGGGCTTGAGCTGCGGGAGGGTCTTCGTCATCGTCATCATCGTCCAGCATGATAACATCCCGTTCCTCATCCTCTTCGTCCGATATGGCTTTCTTCCGTCCTCTAGTAGTTTTAGTGGGTGCCGTTTTCTTGGGTGCTGTTGATGTGGTCTTCGCGGTGGTGGTCACTTTGCGAGTAGTTGTAGTAGCTGCCGTTCTACCTCCACGACCTCGGCCCCGACCACGAGTAGACGTTGCTTTCGTGGTAGTAGGTCCTGTGCCATCCTCTGCAGCATCCTCTTCATTAGGGTCACCCTCGTTGTCTGAATGTATAAGTGCCCCGGGTTGGTCTTCCCAGACGCCGTCAAATTCGGTGTCCCAGCCATCTGGTTTAGGCTTAAATCGCTTCTTCCCTCGCGACCTCATCTTGATCCCTCGAGAGAACATGTCTTCCATCTGGTTTCGGTACTTATCCATTGCCTGCTGCAGCGAGCTTTGTGCCTCTTCTTCGTCGTCCATGATATCGTTGTCACGATCCAGGGCCATGAGGTGTTTGATTTGACTTTCTAGTGATTCATTCACAAACATCTCCATAGCGTGTTTGTCGTCTTTGTCGATGAATTGGGCCACGGCATCCCCAAATGAATTCTGTGGAAGAATACTCAACGATTGGGCGGAGAGAAATTCGCGCACCAACTGCTCAACCTTCACCGTGTCTAGCGTCGAGAGCTGGGAGACTGCCGTTGCATCGACGTCATCATCTTTCTTGCGGGTAGCTGCGTTCTTTTTCTTCCGGTAGAACTGTACAACATCATTCACATTTGCGACCTTGCCTACGAAACGATTGGAGAACCGCTGAGGGTTCTCGCAATCGTAGCTGCCTCCGTCAGGTGTGGAGATCTCCACGCGCAGTCTCACTAGTGGCAAGGGCACCTCTTCCTCCTCGTCTTCTTCAACATCTTCCTGCATCGCCAACCATTCAGCCTTCGCTTGTTCAATGAGCTCCTCAACGATTGTCATTAGAAAACGGGTGACTTCGGTCCGGTTGTTTTCCTTCCGAGCCAGCTTTTGGGCCCCCTTTTCCTCGGAGAGGACGATTTCTTTCATGACAAACGGTCGCACAGTCTTCAGTGGGATCGGCTCGCATTTGAAGTCGCGTCCGGTGATACTGACGATAGCCACTTGTTTTGTTACTGCCTCTCCGGGGACAAGCGATGTTGCCACAGAGGACCCGGGCTGCATGACGTGAAACTTAGTCTCAGGGTTCATTTTAGGATTAATCAAGCACTCGTGTTCGTGGCCCCAAATAACAAGGTCGAGAAACTCCGGGAGGAAGTTCTCGGGGAGATATCCAGTCTCCGTATAAGCATGGTGATTCTGGTGGACACATATCAAGTTGAACCAGTCCTCTTTCTGGATCGAAGGCTGGTAGAACTTGACCTTCCCGTCGCGAAATGTACGGAATAATCGTTCATCTCGGACGTTACTCATACCATATAGTGCTAATTTGGTCCGGCCCTTTTGAAGCAGGACGGGTTTCACCTGAATGTTATCGGACTCAGGCGTCCGTCCATAATAGTTGAGTAGTCCGGAAACCTGGAGTATATCCAAGGCCGCTAAATGACCCTCACCGGAGGGGTCATCATGGTTGCCATGGATAGAGAAAACAGGAATGGCCACGTTGATGTCGAGATCTTCGTAATTCACATGGTTGAATGCCCCTTGGAAGTTTTCACTGGCGTCACTGAGCATTTCCAGCTCACAGGGCTTATCGCCCAGGCAGTTCATCCTGATCGAGCGCATTACTTGGTACATAGATTTTCGGGAAGGCTTGTTCTCGTGAAAGAGATCGCCTGCGAGGAGCACCATGTCGACGTCACGCTCACGAGCGAGACACATCACCTCATGGAAACTCTTCCAACTGTCATCGCCCCTGATCGGGTCTCGTTCATTGTACCCGACATGGTTGTCGGTTGCAACCAGGATGCGGATTGTTTCCGGGTCTGCTCTTGTTACTAGATAGTACAAGATGAATAGAAGAGAATTGTCGACTTACCACCAAGGTCAGGCATTATAAGAAGTCACTCCAGTCCGCATGAAGTGAAAGTGTCGAGGAAGGTGGGTATTGTGATGCGGACGGGCCACTATAAATGGTGATTCCGTCAGGCTGTAATGGGTGGGTGTTTGTTGCCTGGAAAAACAAGCCGTTGGATAGGTCCAATAACAGGGGATTATCCACGGTGTTTATGCAGGATGTGATGCATGCTTAATTAATCCACAGTACGGAGTAGATTTGGTAGAAATACCATCAAATTGAAGACATTTGGGGTAATATTACTAACAATTGATATCCAATCCGATTTGCCTCTGCGGCGCGTCTTCACGTGAGAGAAACGCGAAAACACTGTGACGAATCACAGGGCTGGCCCGTGACACATACCCCCTCCGAAATCCGAACGTCGATTCTCCATCAGTCCCTCTTTTTATTACCTTGACTACTTCTTAAAACTCCCTTTCATCATATCTATCTCTGTTTCCCGCTTTCAGACTGTATAGATTTATTTCCCTTATCGTTCGCATTCTCTACCGCATAGAGCGTCATTCTCGCGCCATCATCTCTTCTCCTCCCCCGTCCTTGTATTGCCCGACTGACCCAGAATCTGGCCTGGTTCAGTCGCCTCCGTTGCTCCCGTTAACCCCGCGAAACCTTTTTATGCAATCCGAGCCTGCTGCAGTTTCTGAGCGCACTTCTCCTACAGATTCGCCTCCCAGAGAGTCTTTCCACAACACCCAGCATGGACATGTTCTCGATGGCGATCATCAAGTCTCTAGTCCTCCCCATGAGGCCGGAGACGTTGAAGGCGTCTCTGACTCACCTCGTCCGTCACCCTTGAACCAGGCGAAGACTGATGATTCAGCCCCCGCATCGCCGGTTCTCGACCGTGTTAGTCAGTACGAAAATGCGATGGCACAGTCGCCTTGGAGACAAACAGATCTGAGCTTTAGAGTAACACCCTCGTCTACTCAGTCGCATCTGTCGCTAGACGCATTCCCAAATGGTATGTCGCCGTGGATAATCCTCCTCGGACAATCACCTGTCTAACGCTATGGATTGGCAGAGGTTTTAACGCACATCCTCTCGCACTTGCCACCGCCGGCTCTGTCATCTATGGCATTGGTGTCGCGCCGGTTTCATACTCTCGTCACAACTCCCCATGCCTGGAGAATAGCATTTTCGCGCTACTTTCCTGGGCCTTATGTCGCAGAAAATGGCACTAGCCTGTCTGAGGCTAACGCACCCGAGAGGGTCACCTCAGATAAGCGCTTCTTTTCCCGTCTCACTGCGTTGGCATCATGGAGATCTGAGTATATTCTACGGACCCGCTTGCTGAGGTCACTTGCCCGAGGCAAGCCGGCGCAATTCGACCCTGCCAAAAAGTCGGGTACAGTTCGTTCCGTGAATATGCGCAATGGCAGCGCAGTTGTCACGTACACTTCCCAGCTTTTGTACCCTGTCAGTCATCTCGCTGCATCCTTTGGGACCGAGGTGACCAAGAAGCAGCCTCTTTTCATCCATGGGGCGTCAGAGCAGGGAATCGCATCGGCCAGCGATCCTTCCTCGGTCAAGGTTGGGACATGGGGCTTGTCGGATCACCAGCTGTTCCGCCATTTCGCGGATCTATTCACTGGTGAAGCCGAGTACGGTCTTGGCTCTGGAAACATGGTCGGCCTCCCGAATCGCATGGACGTTAGTCAACCTTACGGAATGATATACGGCGAGGGATGCCCTCAGGGACGCAGCTATTTCATTTCAACTATGGAGCAACGCGGGCGATTCTTGGGCCTCACTGAATCCATCTCACAGCCGCAGTTGGGCATTCCGTCTCTCAACCTGATCACGAATGCGGTCACCGCTGTATGGATCGCCAAATCCTCCAATATCCTGAAAATGACTGGAGGATTGGTCGCAATGATGTCGGGTACCTCTTCTGGAGTTCTTACGGCCTACGCACTCGGCCCTCATCCCACGTATGAACAGCGATTCGAAAGAGGCCAGGTGACTGCCAGATGGGTTCTCTGTCCGGGAGTCCCCATCATTGCGATTGCAGTCGACAACGATTATTCTGCCAAGCGTCACGCCTGTCGACGCATCTGGGCAACCGTTCTTAATGCCTTAGGTGAAGTTTTCTACCTTTCAGACATCCCGCGCCAGCCTGAACTCCCATCGGCTAAGATGAGCCCTGAGCAAATTGATACTCTGGCGTGGAAGACTGGCAGGAGTGTCCGTTGGGAGCTTCTGGAGTTGAGTCGCCGCACGGCTAGGCCTGACCCCTACAGTCGGGAGCCTGTTGACGGCAGCTATAGCCCGAGGTCGTCGTCGGATTCGATGAAGCTTGATGAGAATCAGCTTGCTGCCGAGACCAAGGAGATTGAGCAGTTCATGTCATTTAAGCCGAAACATTTCCGAAAGGTTTGTGAGGACTGGGACATGAGACGCGAAATGCAAGTCGACTTCGCTGGCGATGATAGCCACGGAGCCGGTGAGTCCGTTATTGTCATTGCTCGTGGTGTAGGAGAAGATGAGAAAGCCTCGATTCGCAGATACACCAGAAAATTGACGAAGGTCGAAATGCCACCGTCGCATTTTGGGACGTATCAAGTTGGCGAAAGCATGGCCTCGTCCCTATTCGGTGGGCCTGTTGGATCTCCGTCTCTATCTTCAGCCGTCAATACACCAAGCGTGCCACCTTCGCGAGCCTCTAGTCGCATCGGTGAAATAATTTGCTCCGCCGCAAATACGGAATGGCGTATCTCGGATTTTGTCTTCGGCGATCACAAGTCAATTGAAATCACAACCAGCGCATTGGACGTTTCGACATATGCTGTACTGACTCCTGATGAGGATCCTCTCCATGGGATGTCCGGAAGCTCGGCACTATCCTCCGGTATATCGTCGCCAATGCCACACATGAAGCAGTCGTCAAATTCGGAAATTCCCGGCCAACGTGGGCGCTACATGGCTGTTGGAACGGCTACCGGAGGGGTCTTTGTCTGGGATATACGCGCTCCTACGGCGAAGAACTCGGATATTATCAACTCCGTCAATCCGATCCGCATCATCCAGACAGACTCTCCTCAAGTGTCCTGTGTCGCTCTTACCTCGCTATACGTCGTGCACGGCGGCAATGACGGTCTTGTGCAGGCTTGGGACCCGCTTGCATCTTCTACTCGGCCTATCCGAACCATCAATTCGCGCTTTTCTTCCCGCGCACGTCGTCGACTAGTGCAGGCGGAGGCTTCCATTCACGGAGTTGGGAATAATTTCTATGCCAGTGGGGCCATGTGCCTAGACCCCGATCCTACGGTCTTAAGGGGAATGGTTGCCCTCGGATCCCACTTGCGCTACTGGTCCTACAGCTCCGGCGCTGCTGATCAGTATAAGACGAGCAAACGCCGATTCCGCCGCGGCCGTCGGGGCAGCAATTCTACGCCCGAGGGTCAACGCTTCAACAGCAGCGGTCGAGGAGCTCTCCAGGACTTCATCGAGGATGAACAGGCGGAGATGAAACGACAAGAAAAAGCCGACCGCAAGGAAAAGGCACACCTCAGCAATCGATTTGGTATCGATCTGCTGGGACCCGATGTGGACGAAGAGCAGCTTCTCGCCTATGCGCAACTCCTGAGTGAGGAGGCATTCGCTAGTGAGGCGCAAAAACGGGGCGATGTTGTGCCTAGCTCCATGGCTAGCTCCACCTCTAGCGACACTATCGGGCGGAACGATAGTTCGGTCGCTGCGGACGAATTTTCATCCTCCTCGTCTCCATATGAGCAGCCTGTTGATGACGATCTTGCCCCTGACATCGCTGAAGCGATTCGCTTGAGTCTTCTCGACGAAGGCCCTGGGTCGTTTGAACAGTACCCTGACATTCCCATCAAGTACGCCAAGGAATCTCAATCTAGCTCTCACAGTTTCTCACCGTCAGAGGCCGTCGCTGAGAGCAGTCGCCAACAAGAGATGGATGATCTGGAGCTTGCCATCCAACTCAGTCTTGCCGAGAGCCAGCCACAGGAGCAAACAGACGAGTTTCCATCACTCTCGCCGTGGGGCGAATCCGACAAGGGGAAGGGGAAGGGTCGAGCTTTGTAATTCATTACATTGTACATTTGCTTTCGATTGATTTATTTATTGTATCTATTTGATTTCGGTTATGCTCTATCATACCTTTTAATATACAGTTCAGGATCTACGTATAGAATGCAGGGCCTGTAAAAATAAATTCGGAGATTGGCTACCGTTGCAACTGTAAGCCAATCTATAACTCCTATCTTTTGACGCTACTACTGAAGATCATCCTATCCTTGACATGACTCTATACACATTCGACAGTATAAAACAATTACGAACTACCCCCATCCCTCACAATCCCAACAACAACCCCCACCATCTCCTCAACATTCGTCAAAAAAACGCTATGACAAGTCTCAAACCCCAAAACCCTAACCTCAACTCCCTCCCCCCGAACCCCCTCAAGCATCATCTCCTGAAACGCCCCCGGCACAGCATAGTCCCTCTCCGTCCTAACATACGTAACAGGACACCGTCGCCACCCATCCCCACTCGTCTTCTCCCTAAGCACACCCACCGGAAACCTAACCAACCCCTTCACACACCTCTCCACAGTCTCCTTCTCCAGACCCCCATAAAACCACAACCCGGGATCCCGGGGCAGGGTCAACCCGAACTCATCATCGTCCATGTATTGGGCCCATAGGTGTTCGTCCACCCCGGCTTTGTCCATAATGGTTTGGATGGAGGACCCGGGCGGGAGCATGTAGGCGCTGAGGTAGAGGAGGTGGATTATTCCCGCTCCTTTGGGTTTCTGGTTCCCTTGGGTGGGAGTTTCGGGGGAGGTGGTGGCGGTGGTGGTGGTGATGGGGTATAGGAAGTCTTGGGCTGCGTCGGTGCCGACGCAACCGCCGTAGGAGTGCATGATTAACAGGATTTGTTTTCCGGCTGTGATGAGGGAATGGAGGGTTTGGCGGATTAGGGTGACGTCGTCGGCGAAGGTTGCTGTTGGGGGGGACGTGCCACTGCAGGTGGGTAGGTGTGGACAGTGGACTTCGAAGCCTGCGTTCGTCAGGGCTGTTGTGTAGGGTTCGTAGTGGGCGGGCGTGTGCCAGGCGCCATGGATGAGGAGGATTGTTGGTTTGGGGGACATTTTGGTTTTGTGGGTATTTTATGGTTGGTTTAGGATATCTAGTTTAGTTTGGAGATATATCCTTTGGATTCCTTGGGGGAAGTTTGTATGGGAGGTATGTAGGGATTTATATACCTGTTGCCCAACCCAGTTATATTAGTGCTGGCGGTCCTCAGATCATAGTACATAGTACTAGATAAGGTTAGCTTTCATCTGTGGGGCAATTCACGCTCTCTATGTGGTCGGTTCGTGTAAATGGAATAAGTGGATCATGTTCCCTTCGTATGAAGCTTTCTACAAATTAAACTTATAAAGAAACCGTGCTACCGATGGGAAGTGAAAAGACTCCATTCTAAATAACATCTCCAGTAGGTCAATTGTCCCAGTATCCCAGAACTGGTATCATAAACTTGCTGACCATCCCAGAGTCATCTCGGTCACGAAGGAAAACAATACATGAAGTTTATTTAACGCACGCAATATGAAAATACAACACAACGAAGTCGATTGATTACAGCACGGAGACCGCGGCCACAGCGGCACCGACCACCAGACCCATGAAGGAAGCGGTCATCTTGCCGGCTGCGTTGTCCTGGGTGTTGTCACTGCTGGAGCCGGAGCCGGAGCCGGAGCCGGAGCTTCCAGAGGTGCTGTTACCGGGGGTGTTGGACTCGCCGCTGGAAAGGGCCTTCAGCTGGACGCCGGTGACCTCCTTGCCGGTGTGGTCGTAGATCTTCTGAGAGACGGCGGTGGTCGAGACATCGACCAGCTTACCGGTGTTGGCCTTGGACAGACCGTTGTCGATCATGTCCTGGACCTTGGAGGGGCGGGAGGGCAGGTCGAACTTGCTCAGGAAGGTGCCGTTCTTGATCAGGTCGGAGCTGCACTTGGGAGCCTTGGCGGAAGTCTGGGTCGAGTTAGAGGCCTGGATGCGGTCCATGTCGAGCTTAGCGTACTGCTTCTGCAGGTTCTCATAGTCGACGAGCAAAGTGACAGTGTCGCTGTCGTTGATCTTGACGAGACCGTAGTTGTTGGCCTCCTGGGTGTACTCGTAGACCAGACCACCAGAGAAGGCCTGGGTCATCTCCTCACCGTAGATGGCCTGCACCTCGGTGAAGACACGAGGCGTCACTTCGTTGCAGCCGTACTCAGAGAAGAAGACGGGTATGGAGGCGTCCTTGAAGTCCTCGGTCAAGATGTCGTAACCGGCCTTCTTGTAGGACGAGTCACCGCACCACGAGTAGGAGTTGAGACCGAAGAAGTCGGACTGGGAGCTCGGCTCATCCGAGTCCTCGCACATGAAGTAGTTCACAGTATCCATCAACCAGGGACGGATGTCAGCGGCGGAGTAACCAACAGGGATGGAGCGGTCGACGTTCTTCTTGATGTAGTCCTTCATGTCACGCTGGACGGCACGGATGTAAGCGGCAACCTCCTTGACACTCTGCTCGTTGATCACCTCGTTCCCGGCGAAGAAACCGAGGGTGTTGGGGTAATTCTTGAAGGCCTCAATGACACCGAAGACCTGTTCGTAGTAGACGGCGTTGTAGCTGCTCTTGGGGGCGGTACGGTCAATGTAGCTGCCGTACAGAGGGGAGTTGACATCCAGGATCATGTAGATGCCGGCAGCGTTAAAAATGGAGGCACAGTCGTCATGGTTGAGGCTGGGCGACAAGTTGTAGACACGGATGGTGTTCACACCCAAGCGCTGCATGAGAGCGGCATCACGCAAGCATGCATCCTTGTCGCTGAGAGGGTCCTTGTCCTTCTTGAAGCCAGAAGAGCCGCCGGGTTGGTAACTGTAGATAAAATCCGATGATCAACACCACCGCTTTCCCCACGAGGCAATGCGATCGAATATCATTGAGATCAAGGCGATCATAGAGCGTGAACAGAATTAAGAGAATAGAACAGAAACATACTCGACACCCAGGATCTGGAAACGATCACCGGTCTTGCTGTTGATAAAGTCCTTGCCCTTCACCTCGATAGTGGTGACAGCATTCGCAGTGGTCGCAAGAGCGCAAAGCGCAGCGAAAAGACGAGTGTACATCTATAGGGATATTCGGCAGTTTAGTCAGCCAACATTCCTTTTCGGGTAATCTGTGGATCTATATCGATAGATCGAAAAGAGAACCGACCGAAGGCATTTTTTATATATATCTCTCTCTCTCTCTCGCTGAAGAAAAAACTAGTACAAAGAATCAAAGGAACGGACGGAGGGGCTTCCACAGGAAGTTCCAAAGCAAAGGATATTTATGTATGACAAGAGAATGAATGACGAGCGCAAAAGGCGCACAACGATTAGAACAAACCCCGAGAGGGAAGTAGCGAGTGTGGGCGGAACGAAAAGAGGACAGCGACGATGAATGAATGGAAGGAGGGAGAGAGAAAGAATCGCGAAAGACCCGGCAGAAGGCTTTTTGAATGAAAGAAAGGGACTGAGTAAGAGCGAACCCTTGGCCCCCTCCGAACCAACTGATGCCCAGCAATTTAGTTTCATTAAAGGGTATACTCCAGCACTATGAGACTCCACTCCCGGCTAGTACTTCACTAGAACCAATCTCCTTTACCGACAAGTCCCTTGGCGTTGAGGGTCTTGAATGTTGAAACTGGGTAATATTGATTTTTCTTTTTATTTTTTTTTTTTTCAATTTAGCTCATTCCAAGGCAGGCAATATCGGTAGATAGACGAGGTGAAACCGTTCCAGGTCCATACTTACTAGGATCATAATAGTCTTCGATATGATTCATGGATAGGTTTGTAGATCACCGAATCAGGAATAAAATCATTTTGCATCTCAATCCACGTTGAATTGCTCACTGTTGATACACTACTGCCTCTCTAGAATACAGTCCCAAATGTTACCCGTCAGGAGAAGCACCTGGGGAGAAGGAATAATTGGCGCCTGTAACCCAAGAATTGTCCATGTCCCAAGAAACCCCCAAGACTGGTGAAAAAGGGGGTGAATAACCGAAGGAGAAAAATGAGAAACAAAAAGTCATGGCGCCGAGAAATACCAAGAGAGTCCGCCACGCCGGCGGCCAAGACATGGGCAATGATGCAAATATACAGGGAACAAAAGAAAAAAAGGTAACAAATAATAAGCGGAGAGGGAGAGCGTGCGACATCGCAAGGCGAAAATGTTGAAAAGAATCGATCCTCACAGAGATCGATCGGTCTTTTCGACTCAATTAGTAGCGCAAAAGCAAGAGAGAAAAAGGGTCCGGACCACGGCCCAGCGTGACCCGACGACCTGAGAAAGCCAGATCACAGGCCAAGCAAAGTTCTTATTTTATACGTAAAAGGGTTGGATGATTGACAATGCCGAGGGCGCGAGTCCGGATCCAATGAATGCGTCACGTCTGTTCTTTTACTCAACACCATGGCTGGATTCAGCACTGCCACCTTCGCCAGTGAATGTGCCCAACTTCAAAGCCGCATCCATAGCAACCATCTCGGCCAGAATTTCCAGGACTTCCTTAGGGACAGTCTTGTCATATATGGAGATCAGGTCCTTAGGTTGAGGGTAAACCTTAAGGGCCTTGTAGAAGCACAGGGCGGCTTCAACCTTGTCTGAACCTAGGTTTGTATGTGAATCGCCGCTACTTTCAACTGGGATTTCTTCTATTCTTTGGGGGAAGGAAAGGCGGATGGCGTCACCGCAGCAGAAACATACCTTCAGCGCAGAGAGACTCTCCCCGGGCAACTTGGCCCATGAAATAAGCCTCCTTCTCTTCAAGGTCGGTCGGGAAACCCTCATCCTGAGCCTGCTGGACAGACTTCTTGATGGATTCCCGTTCCTGGGCTCCTTGAGCCTCGACTTCCTCCTTCACAGCTCTCGCCAGACGACGGTTGTTTCTCTTCAACGATTTGCGGAACTCGGGGTCGGTCTGTCTCTTGTGGTCAAAGTAAATGGCATAAGCTATATCCGGAAGAAGAAAATAGATTGATTAGTTTGCTTTTCGCGACTGGTTGATATTGATGTGATGTTCTTACCCAACAGGCCGGTAAGAACCGTGCCGGCCGAAGCAGCAACCAAAGTTGACGTCCTCATGGTGTCACGGGAGATAGTGTGTAATTATTTATTAAAGAAGGATAAAAGAAAGCACAGAGGTAGAATAAGTCCAGTGCCTCAGGCGAGTCCGACCGAACCGGGGGAAGGGATGTTTATTTGGTCTATGGGGACGAGACTGGGGAAGTGACGCTTTTCATGTTCTGACAATTTTGAAGGTGGAGGATCATTGTTCTTCCGCCTCGGGGTTTCTGTCCCGCTCGGGGGGGGAATTCAAGCAAGCTCCCCATCCAATACCCTCCACGTCGTCAATCCTCTTCCTCATGACTCTGAACCGTTCCCTCCGGGCTTCGTGATCGAGACAATATGGAAAGCCGCGGATTAACCCTCCGCAGCAAATCCCGCCGTCCCCGGCCCCAGATCAGTGCGCCGAAACCGATATCCGCGCCTCTCCCTCCTGGTAGTAAAGCCGTCGACCCGAGGACCGCTACGTCAACCTCCACTTCACGCGAACGCGCTCCTCAAAAAGATGCGACCTCCGATTTAGTGAAGAGGAGATATTCCACCCGGTTCAATCAAGCTCCCGATCTTGACTCCGCAAACGCACCACCGGTGCCCGGGGTGCCTACAGTTCCGTCTCAGTATACGGCGCTAAGTCCACCTCAGTCGACCAGCAGACGCCCTTCGACAGAATCCTCGGGACCACCACAAGTAGATCTAAATGCTTTGCGGGACCCTAGCCTACCGGTAGATAGATGTAAGTTTTATGGCCATGAATTTTCCGTGAGGATATAGTCTTGCTAACCCTGTATGCACCGTGCCTATCAGATGTCGCCAACCTTCTTGCCAATGCAACCGAGGAAGAGATCGAAGAGTACCAGAGAAGCCTAAAAAAGGTTAAGAATAGGACATCCACCGACCTCCAGCAAAATGTCTATCAGAATCGCACGCAATTCATCAAGATCAGTAAAGAAGCGGAGAAACTCAAGGGAGAGATGCGCACTCTCCGCACTCTCATGGCAGAGCTCACAACGGCTTTGGGACAAACAGCGACCGTTGGAAACAATCAAAACCCCATGTCTCCGACATTAGACGAGCGCATAACCAAGCGAAACAATCGCAGTTCCGTTGCCAATCTGGAGAGCATGTGGAATGTTCAGCTGCAAACCCTGTGGAAGACCGTCGAAGGATCGCAGAAGTTCCTACCGGTGGTACCAGGTCGGCACATCGTGTTGGAGACGGGAAACTGGGTCGAGCTGGACTCTGCGACTTGGAAGCCCCGGCGACCGGTTCACATCGTGCTTCTCAACGACCACCTGCTTGTGGCGGCTAAAAAGCGAAAACGTGTGGATCAGAGCAACCCGAAGCACCAGGGCCCGGTACCTACCAAGCTCGTAGCGGAAGAGTGCTGGCCCCTGGAAGATGTCGACATGATTGACCTGGGTGCCAATCTTGGCCCGGGGGTCTCCCGTGAAGAAGCGGAGGACCGTGGTATCATGAACGCCGTGAGTGTCCGCGTGGGCTCCAAACCGTTCACCTATCGCCACGATAAGCGAAATGGCTCCGCTAAGATCGACCTTCTCGCGACATTCCGGAAAACCGTGGAAGACCTTCGCCGGACGCTGCGTTCCGAAACGGAAACCACAAGCAAGAACGAGTCATTCGGGTATCTGGGAGTAAGACAGTCATCATACTCCATGGTGAAACCGGATTTCAGCGCCTTGGAAACGCAACGTGAAGCACCCGAAGTCCGTATCGATGTAGACGGAAAGCAGCAAAACCTACGATGGGTCGAGGGCCAGGTAGACGAACTGGACATCGATATCGCGCTTCAGCGCTTCGAAGAAGCCGTCTCGAACATCGAGCGGCTGCGGAAACTCGCCAAAGGCCTAAAAGGCAACTCGATCGCGCAGGACGTGATCAATTCTAAAGTGGACGAGCGAGCCGCCAAATTGGCAGGGGTCCTGTCGCGATCCTTAGTCGACACGCCCTCGTTTCTAAACGCCACTAAGACCAAGGTCTCCTGCCTGACCCGCTTGGGCTTTGAAAATCAAGCCCGGGAGACCTATTTGAAATGCCGATCCGACGTGATCACTAAACGAATCAGGCAAGTTCCATCCTTCTCAAACGAGGAGCCAAAGCACAGTAACTAACATTCCAAAACAGAGCCTGCGTCTTCGAAGGCGACCTCCCTCTATATATCTTCCAAATCTCCTACGTCTACTTCACCCTCATCAAAAACACCGTCAGCATCTACCAACAATGCTTCCCAGCCATCATGACCAGCGCCTGCATCAAATGGGCGAAACACCACCTAGACGGATTCAACGCCCTCCTCACACGCCAGCTAAGCAGCGTCCAGCGCGGCACGAGCGTCTGGAAGAAGTGCATTGGCATCGTGCACGAACATGCCGACCTACTCACGGAAGTCGGGATTGACTTCACCGACCTCGTAGCCAAGGGACTGGAATCGGATGAGGGAGAGAAAGTCGTAAAGCCGACGATGACTCGCTCGGAGGCGCTGATCTCGGGATTGGCGGATGCGGCGAAGGCTTGATTGCCATTTCTCGCTGGCTTGCTTGGAATGCATGCATGTATGATGATAGTGGCTTGTTTGAACTATATATCCTTCCTGTTCTTTAAAATAGTTTCTGTTTCTGAGTGAGCGTCGTTGATCGAATGCTACTGTTGTTGGATATGATCTGATGTCAGGCTAGAGTAATCGCCAATTGGTGTTCTGGGTTGAACAGGATTCGCTTTTGTCTTATTCACCACTATATATATATATACACTACCCGGGCTCACAACCAAGACCTTCACTTCTCATAGTGGACAATCTAAACTTTATCCAATAGAATACATCTCGTAAACCTTGTTATCCTGATTTACACTCTCCTCATCCTCACCCAACTGCTTCCCACGCCTCGACCGCATGGCCCCCCGGGCCATGAACTCCGAAGGCGGCAACCACGCATGATCCCAAGTAGTCGGCTCATTCAACGTCCTTCCATACTTCAGTTGCCCGAAGCGGAAATCCAGCGGCTCGGAACCCTCTACGTTCTCCGAGGGCAACCGCATGTAGTAGCGCACGCTGTCGGGGATTTCCTCCCGGTTGTGGCTGATCATGATGAGGGCCTGGTCGTCGGACAGGCCCTGGTGGCGGATGTCCGACTCATCGGTGTTGTAGCCGCGCAGCCAGTCTTCCTTGGTGTCAGAGCGGCGGGTGGCCGAGGAGGCGCGGTTGCGGGAGTATTCGCCGGCTTCGAGGAAGTGGATGCATTTGTCGCGCATGGAGGCGGGCATGCCGGAGAAGGCTTCGTCGAGGATGACGATGTCCGGCTTGTGGACGAGCGCGCGGATGAAGAGAACGACGCGTTGTTGGGCGGTGTTGAGTTGGCCAAAGAGGGTGGAGTCGGCGTACTCGACGTCGAACTCGATTGGGGAGAAGATGGGGCTGGCGCCTCGGGCGAAGGCGATCCTGGGGAAATGTGCTCTGGTTTCAACCGGCACTCTCGGGGGTTTCTCGTTGGTGGTGACGGCAGCGTCGGGATCGAGCTCGGCCTTGAAGTAGCGCAGCACAGCGCTCACGTCCAGGTCGCGGTCGTGATCTAGCTTGGGTTTCGAGAGGAAGGTTTCGGCGTAGGCGGATTCCACGGCTTGACGGATCGTGAGTTGCCGCGGGAAGAAGGCGTGGATTTCTGGTGAGGAGTGGCCGAGGCGGGACTGGAGTTCGAAGATGGAGATGCCTGGTTGCCCTGGCTCGGGCAGGCGAGAACGGCCGAAGAGCTTGATGGGCAAGGCGTATGCTTGAGGGTGGTCTGAGGTGATCAGGGAGAGAAGTGTAGTTTTGCCGGATCCATTGGCTCCCAGGACTGCCCACCGCTGGCCACGGCGGACGGTCCAGTGGAGGCCGTCCTTTTTCTTTCCATTGACTTTTTGTTTCCATCCACCCAGCACGACCTTCTCGCCATATTGCACGCAGACTCCCTCCATTTCGATGACTGGTTCCCCTCCCTTGATGACAGGCAGGGCTAACCCACTAGTCTTTGTTGATAGTAACTGGAGGTCCCAGAGCAGCTGACGGTCCAGATGACCAGCCTCCATGGCGCTCTTTGCCTCACGGAAAATCGCTTTCTCCTCTTCAGTGAGAGACGCAACCTCTCGGCCGCCGTTGACGACCCGTTTCCAAACATTAAACACCGTGTTCGCTTCGGCCCGCTGACCTTGGAATAAAATCCGATTGTTATTTCCTAGGAGGATCAGATGCGTTATCCAGTCAGGGATCGTATCCTGCGGTCGTAAGGCAAGGATTAATCTGGGGTCCGATTTGGCTGCTAGGCGCTGGAGAAGGCTAGAGATGCTTCTCGTGGTAGCGGGGTCCAGGCCCACTAGAAGTTGTTAGCAATATAATTGAACTCGAGCCGGTGGGAGATTTACTCACTAAAAGGTTCATCCAATAGCAGCAGCTCCGGCTTTCTGAGTAGTGCCTTTGCGATCCGCGCACGTCGTGTCTGACCATTGCTTAGGTTTGCGACGGGCATGTCCAGGAGCTCTCCCAGTCGCAGATCGGCGATGACCTGATTGAGTAGCCGTTCATCTCGAATCTTTCCACCTTCCTCTCCTTCTAGGGGGTTCAAGGAAGTTTGACCCTTCAGGTATTGAAGCACCGACCAGTCCGTCTCTTCCCGGAGACTCTCATAGCGAGCACTCAAGTAGGCCCCGCGGGTACCACCAATGGCTCCCGATCCTTCACCGCTAAACCCGATATATTGCACTGCGTTTCCAACGAACCGTAACCGAGGATCCTTCTTTGCAATCTCGTCTGTGAGGAGGTAGGGATAGGAGCGAGCCGTCGGGGGGAGACAAACATACTGGCCGCGGAGAACATCGAGCATTTGTGTTCGTCCCGAAGTACCGATCACGGCCCAGTTTTGCAGCGATTGATCTCCATTGTTTTCGGCCGATGTTGCCTGGTCGGCGGGCAGAACGAAATTCAGGTTCGGAAAAAGAGGCGGGTTCTGGTTGTTGGCGGCATCGTCTGGACTAGGATAGTTCTGATAAAAGGTTCCGTCTTGGATGCGAATCAGTGGCGGTGTCAATGACGACACTGCGCGAGTCGTGCGCAGCAGACTTGTCGGTCGCCAGAGTAACCTCGTCCGCAATGCAGGTCCTCTTAACATGATGATTCCCGCTCTGTGTCTCCTCCCATACAGACCGATTGGCGATTATTTGTATCTCCAAATGCTGCCCCAGGATTCTCGGAGTTGAAGACAAACTCCGATGGTCACGTGCCATGGCATGGTCGGTGGCAGTGACGCAATGCAATCGAATACCCTTTTAAAGATCAAGACGTAAGGAGTAAGCGAATCCTTATTCCTTTCGGGTGTTTCATTTGACAACGCTGTACCTCGTATCCGTAATAGGTATCTCGATAGAGGCAGTATTGTCCGGAGTAGTCCCTCGGCTCCGATTGGAGTATATTTGCCTTTGACCAAGGTCGTCGGCCGGGATTGCCGTATTGGGAAGTGAAATTGGATATCCATCTGTATAGTAGGGCATGTCGACGGTGTCCAGTTACACCAGAAATAGCAGAGTCTGGCTGGTGACCAGAAGATCAGATGCATTCAAGGTATCCATGAGAGGCTGAAAGAGGTGGTTGATCTAGAATCTCCCGCTTTCGGAAGTTTGTACTTTTCAGATGGTCCGCTGGATCCTGGCAAGAAGCGGTTTTTGGACGAAAACATTTACATCCGGCCCCATTGCGGACCTCGGTATTGGAACTGTAATCTGGGGGAACGGAGATACTATGATATTGTGAGACCGAATCATGCGCCTTGTATGCTGCTTCAAAAACTTGTGGTCATTCGACAAAGTTGCGTACAACAAATAGGGTCCTATCGACTTCTCTGACGGCTTTATCGATGTCGGTCTATTAAGGGTATCAGGGGTTTTGTTCTTATCTTAAGTCCGACGGCGCGATAACGATCGGCAACGTCGTTCCCCGCATGAATGCCGAAAGCTGACCTCATGTTATGATTGCATTCCAATTGATCTTCACTTGACCATACTTTTCACTGAACGTTTTGAAGCATCGCTGAAGACCCTACCTCTTCCTACGTGCCCTGTTCTGCCCTGTAAAGCCAAGATGGCTGTCGTAAATGAACCAAGCAACGCGTATTTATACAAGTCGGACCTCCGCTCTCGGCCCCTCCACCCCCCATCTCAATCACATCGAATCTAACAACTCTCTGCGCAGTGTCAACCCGCAAACGCAATCCCCCGAGTTATCATCCATTCCATCCCTCCCACTTTTTCTCGCAGCCAAGAATCATGCGCAAACATATCCCGGAAAGATTGCCGTCATCGACACAACCAAGAACCAACAGTTCACCTTCGGCCAACTCCTCGCCGACACTGCAGCACTAAAGAAGCAGATCCTCGAGCAATTGAAGCTGACAGACACCGGGGACTTAGAAGAAAGGCGCATAGCCTTCCTCACGCCGAACGGATACGATTATGTGGTTACACAATGGGCCATTTGGGCAGCGGGCGGAGTCACCGTGCCACTCTGTATGCGTCGCAAACCCTCTGGCTGAAACACTAGCTAACAGCTAATTTATAACATAAGGCACAACGCACCCAGTGAAAGAATTACTCTACACAATCGGCGACTCGGACCCGTCGCTGGCCATCCTGCATCCGAGCTTCGCACACTTCAAAACACCCCTGCGGGAGGGGACAAAGAGTGCTATCCCGTTCATGGATCTAGATCCATTTACGCAGAGTGTCGCGCCGACAGCTTTCAAATTACCTCCGTTTAGCTCGCAATGTCCGTTGGATAGGCGCGCATTGATGATCTATACATCGGGTACGACCTCTAGTCCGAAGGGCTGTGTTACAACGCATAAGAATATCACGTTTCAAGCGGAGTGTCTAGTTAAGGCATGGAAATATGCACCCTCGGATCACCTCATTCATGTCTTACCGCTCCATCATGTGCATGGGATTATTAATGGCTTGACGGCTAGTTTCCTAAGCGGTGTTACCGTTGAAATGCACCCGAAGTTCGATCCCCAAGTCATCTGGTCCCGCTGGCAGGATCAGGGTTCCTCGACCATGTTCATGGCTGTGCCGACTATCTATTCTCGCCTGGTCGACTATTTCGAGACTCACATCCGTGGTACAGAGCAAGAATCCGTGGCGCGGGACGGAGCTCGCGCTCTACGCCTTGTCGTTAGCGGTTCCGCCGCGCTTCCCACACCTATCAAGGCGAAGTTTGCCGAGATCACTGGTCAGACACTCCTCGAGCGCTACGGGATGACTGAGATTGGCATGGCGATTAGCTGCGGACTGGAGGTCGAGAAGCGCATCGACGGGAGTGTCGGGTGGCCGCTTCCCGGCGTACAGGTACGCCTCACCGAGAAAGAAACCGGACAGGTCGTTGAAGCGGTGGATGAAGATGGTCAGATTGAGATCAAGGGAGACAACGTCTTCCTAGAGTACTGGCGTCGACCCGAGGCCACGGCCAAGGAATTCACCACAGATGGGTGGTTCAAGACGGGGGACGTCGCCAGACGGGATGCCGCCGGCGCATACTTTATCCAGGGACGGGCATCCGTCGATTTGATCAAGTCCGGCGGGTACAAGATCTCCGCGCTGGAGGTGGAGCGGAAGATGCTGGGACTAGACGCTATCCAGGAAGTAGCAGTAGTGGGGCTCGCAGATGAGGAATGGGGACAGCGGGTGGCTGCTGTGGTCAAGCAACGCCCTGGAGTACGTCCATCCCACATACTTACCATATGCCGTTCGAAACCTTTGCCTTGCTAACCAACCGGCCAGACCGAACCCCTCGAGCTCCAGAACCTCCGCACACAGCTCAAGCAAGAAATGGCGCCCTACAAGATCCCCACGGTACTCAAGATCGTCGAGAACATCGAACGCAACGCAATGGGCAAGGTGAACAAGAAAACCATCGTCCAGAAATACTGGCCCTTGGTCTAACAAACAGGGGTATATACACGTCAAATCACAAATCCATACAAGTAAAAAAAAAACCCACCAACCCCACAGAAATTAAACATTATCAAACCGTCCTCCCCCCTCCAACCCCATCATAACAGAAGAAAAGGGCGGCTAACTAATTCAACAAATCCACGACCATGTTATACACCCGCATCATCTGGTCCCAGCCCTCCGTCCCCTCCTGAGCAATCTTATCCCAACCATGTCCCACCCCGGCCACCCGCTCCACAACGACCTTGTGCAAAAACTCCCCATTCCCCCCCTTCTTCAACAACCCGCCCAACTCCTCCAACTCTGGCGCCAACAAATCCCTTGCCGCAGAAACCAACAACACCCTCTCCACCCTCCAGCCACCAGAATCACCAACCGCCCTCCGAATTGGTGAAATCCTTACATCTCCACCCCGCCCTTCCACCCCGCCACTCAAATAAGCCACCGTACAAAACCGCACAAACCACCCAGGCAAAGTCCATCCCCCAACCTCCGGCGCCCGTCTCTCCCCAAAAGGCCTCGTAGCATCCACAACCGGATAAAACGCCACCAGCACCCTAAACGGCCCTGCCTGGTTCGCCGCCAAACTCGTCGCCAAATTCCCCCCCGCAGAGAACCCGCTCAGCCCCACGCGACTCCCATCATACATCTCCGGCCGCGCCCGCACATACGCCAACACGTCTTCTGCATCGTTCAGGGCAGCCGGAAAGGGGTGTTCGGGGGCCATGCGATATCGCACGTCGAAGACCGTGTAGGGCGTGTGGCGGGCGATGTGGGTGCAGTAGGTATTGTCGGAGCCGTGGCCTTGGATGACGAAGCCGCTGCCGCAGAAGTTGAGGAGGATGGGGAGGGGGCCCTTGGTGGGATTTGCGGTTGGGTTTGGGGGGCTGTAGACATGAACTTTGATGGTTCTTTGGGGGTCGCGGGACGGGATGTGGAGGGTGGTTGTTGGGGTTGGGGTTATGCGAGGGGCCAGGGTATAGGCTAGGGTGCGGAGGAGGAGGGCGATGGGTTTGAGGAGGAGGTAGTATTTTAGGGTTCTTTTTGGGGGCATGGTTTTTTTTTTTTTTTTTTTTT